TGTTATAGATAAAACTTCTGCATGTAGTAGACGGGTGAATAAATAATATGTCATAGAAATAAAACAGTTTTACATGGTGGAGTACTGAGGGTGAATTCTGAAGCTCCTCTGAAGTCAGGTGGTATGGCTGCGGGTACTTCTGTACCTCTTGCCATATGGCAGCAGGATGAACAGGCTGTGGATGGGGTGGGTACTGTCTTTTAGTATCGTTTGGACTCTGTGTAGGCCCCTCATCTCACTGATACCACTGATGCTGGGTAGATAGGTACCAATGATGTTTTGGGTGGTTTAATCACCTGCTGCAGAGTAACAGAGTAGCAGAGTAAGATAACATAACAACTCCAAATTATGTAGTAACAGTCTAGGCAGTGCAGTGAAAATACAGACACACTTTTAAAGGGGAAAGAACATTGCCCAAAGCTTATACTTCAGGGGCGGTCGCCAAAAAAAAAATCCCTGCAAAAAGACTGGAAAACATGTCAGGCCAGAAATGTGACTCAGGACACAAGTGTTCCAGTTCTAGCATTTTCCATTTATACACAGGCACCATAAAGCCATCTATGCGTCAACCATCGTGCTTGTCAGATAGTCGAACAGCATCCTTCACTCACACCTTTATACTGCTGGAATTGGAGGGGCTGTGTCCGGCAATCTCTGCTTTTCTGTAACTTTCCAAAAACAACATTCGGGCAAACACAACCAGTTTGACACATCAATTGGGCAGGTGCGCAGGATAAGAAAGAAAGAGCTTTCTTTGTTCTTTCTTCACACTATTACTTCTGTCACTTATGGGTTATGGTTCCATTTTTGCCTTCAGACGTGGTCTGACAACAATTACACTTATTTGTTTTTTATTCTAAGCAACTTACATTGCATACATAGAAGCCAACAATTGCAAGAATCATGCAAGTTAATCAAACTTCCTGAAATATGAAGTGCTACATTAAGAAACAATGACAGAAAGATATTACTGTAGTTATTTATTTACTTCCACCTTAAATCTTAATAGAAGAAGACGTGATAATAACTATAACCCAATTACTATAACATACAATGGCTTTACAGGCCTAACCCACCACACGAGCAGCTCTCCAGCTCTTTAAGAAAATATAAGATTAGATTTCTGATTGTTTTCAGAGCCCTCATATGTTGACCTTGTCTTAACTTATTAGCAAGTATTGTGCCCTTAATCCATGCCAACTTACTCCTTACATTATTTTACCATTTTATTTCTATTTGTTCCTCTAAACAGATTGTCCTCACAGTTCATCCCCTTGCTCTTCCAACCCTCTGTCCTTTACGAGCATTTACCAGCACATCACTCCCTTCCCCAAAGGCTCAGCCCTCATCCTAGCATCCATTTCCCGGTGCTCCCTTTTCATCACGGCCCGACGCTGAGGAACATTGTCCTTGATTGCTTGGCAGATGCCATTATCCTGGGCTTATATCTTCACAATCACATTAGCCATTTGCACAGCTGGGTACTTACTGAAGCGAGGCAGGTTAAGCACCACACTCGAGGGGACAAAACGATGGAGGCCCACCTGGAGCTTAGGCCAGGACTCTCCTCAGCATCATGCCATTACCAAACACACTGTTGGCCTTTCTTCCATTTAGGTAATGCCTCCATATCTGCCTCTCCATCTTCTCTCTCTACACTCTTCTTTTCTCAGTTTATACTCTTTTTTTACCTTCTCTACCTGCCCCTTGATTCCTGCACTGTAATTTCTTCCTACGTCTAACCTCAATCTATCCATGCCCCCAGGCTTTCTCTATTTCTTCCTCTCACACTCTATAACTTTTTTGTCCCTCACTCTTTTTTTTATCAATCCCTCACTTGTATGGGCATGTTGGAGTTAAGGGGCTGCAAAATGCAGATTTGCACCAAATGAAAGAAGTAAGGAAAGGAGGATGAGGAAGGTTGGCAAGGTGACTGTGTCAGCACAGTTTGCTAACACAAAGCTTAGCACCAGCGTTACTTTCACAGAGAGGTATTTATTTGTCTGTGTCTCCAAGTTGTTATTTTTGTCACAGTTACTTTATATTCAATGTTTGACATTTCACTAGATTAACTGATTAATCAAATAAATTGTTGTTTACTGACACCGCCACTGGACATTAAACTCAATCAAGACAGCATCATTTTAATCCATTAGCATTAAAGCTGAGATTACTCCAAAATGAGATATAGGGAAGAGAGGAACAGATGGGTATAGGAAATTAGAGATAGCACCCATAGAAGCCAGGAGGAAAAATGAAGAAATCCCGAAACCAACACATTTTATACTAGAATATAGCTTACACCAGGAATGAAGTTGGTACGAAATCAATATGAAGTCAACAAGGATATATGAAAGTGTTGATGAAAGAGGCTGATTGATGATAACAAATTATCTGAATAATCAATATGCCCATAGCTGCTGTTCATGAATTAATCACAAACAGAGCCAGAGTCAAGGTAAAGAGCCATGGTTACTGTTACTATAGTGTGTACCATTGCTTATAGAAAAATACCAACCATGCAGCTGCAGAGGCTGCAGGAGGCAATAAGCATTCATAAACAGTGCATCACATGGTACAACGTCGAAAGAACAAACGTGTTCAATAACTTATGACACTGGGAAGCTTCACTCAGACACAAGTTCAAAATACACAATCATACACACAAAGCACATCATAAATATGCATTTGTGCCTCTGCTGGATGAGATGGGTCCAAGAAACATATTAAATGTCACTCTCTATATTTCCATCTCACTTTTATTGGCGCTGCGTGGTCGGTGCACACAACAGGAAGCGAGAGATCATCAGTTTATGAAGAAATGGAAGAATATGCTCCCTGTATGCAGCACTTTCCTCCTGAGTGTGAGGCGACAAAAGGATGACAAATGTTAGAGTGGATGGAGGTGAGTGATCCAGTGGAACCGCACAGATAGGTGGTCGGACAGTGAGAGGGAGAGTTGGGAGGAAAAAAGTGATGGTACTTGCTCTTTCATCCGCCCCTTTACTCCAGTCACCACGGCAACATGCCTGGAGGGCACTCAAGAGAGGCGTCATCACTGACAAAAACAACAGAGAGGCAGAGAGTGAGTGAGAGCAAACGAGAGCAAACTAGACAGACAGCGTGTATGAATGAGAGCTGAGAGAGGAAGTAGGTAGCAGATCTACAGCTGACTCCAGATACTTCTCCCCACTCAAAGAAGTGTGAATTTGGACCTTCAGGGACTCAGCTAAGAAGTGTGATGAACATTCATTCATCATTGGAGGTCATTCAGATTAATGTTTGGATCGCTCAGCTAAAGTTTCACCAACAGCGTCTACGTGCACGTTTATGGGTGTGAATATCACTGATATCCCCTCCAAAAAGGACACTATTATGAGATATGAAATTGGCAAAGTTAATCAAACCGAGGCTAATGCTTAATATTTGGAATTAACTGAGCCATTAATACTGCAGGCTGCCTTTAGGATAGATAGAGTGGTTAAACCACCACCGGCTAAATTAAACAGGTTAATTAAAGTCTCAAATTTTCATACACTTCCCCTCGGTCTGTATTTCACTGTTAAACACACATGTATGCACACACATACACACACACACATAATTACTTACACACATGTTACTTATGATGGACTTCCACTGGCTGTATTAATTTTCTAATCTGAATCCTAATTCTAACCTTAAAGCCAGTGGAATAGTGAATCCAAAATAACCTCAAAAGACCTAATGAATGATCTCTTTCACAAAAAAAAGCAAACAAAATAAATCACACCAAAAGTCATACATTTGCATGTATATTTCTAATATGGCATCCAGATTAAGCCTTGACCACCACACATTGGTGAGCATTGGTGGCACCAGGGGTGGGTTTATGAGGGTTAAGCCCCTGATGTTTTCAGCAAAGCCCAGAATCATTTGCTGTTCCTCATGCGTCACCTCGCCACACCAGAAGATCAGCGATTTGCCCGCCTAACAATTGTCTGGGGATTTCTTAATGCAAGGTAGCAGAGAAAGGCTGCTAACAAACTTTACCCCCCTTACTTCAAGGACATGCCTTTCTTCATACGATGCTCCCCCCCACTCTCCTCTGTAGTGATACAAACTGGAGATAAAGCAAATCACTTTTTAACATGAAGAGATTAAAACGTTGAAAATGGATGTCCCAAGCAATGCTGTATGGTACGATTAACACTGTGTTAGTCCTGGACCTGAAAATGTGTCAGAAAGCTGAATGGTGGTCAGATTAGGCCATTATAGAGTCTTGTTGCTGTGATTTGGTCAAGAGAATAGATAGATGATAGACTACACATTGGACCCTGATCAATCATCATGTATTCTGATCCCAGTATTAGACAACTCTCTTCACCAACCATTATGTTCGCCATTCCTCTAATTTGTCACCCATTTGTATATCAAACAGCTTCCACTTTTTCTGGTTGTCAACAGGAATTTAAACAGTGTGCTTGTAATTAACAATGATAATGATTCAATGTGTGATAATGAGTCATTTCACAGCTGGTAAGGCTTTTTTTTGTTAATCCCAAAGTCAAACCTGAGCCTAATCTATAACAAATAAAAACGGTAGACCTTTTCTACATGTGACATATGCTGTATCTTCAACATCTTATATATGCTAATGTTACTGTCTATCCTATTATCTTAAATCTCTCCTTCCCTTCCAACAACCCTTACTTTCTTATCCCAACCGACACTTGCTGCTTATGATTATTAATCTATTTTAAACTTAACATTAAACCTTTTTTCTTACTGTTTTAATTTCTAGGATTGTCTCCACAGTTATTGATACACACACAAAGGCGCGCACACACACACACACACACACGATGCATGTTTTGAGGGGGCGGGGCCGCAGGATAGATGGACGTGTGAGCGCATCTCCTCCATCAGAGGGCGGGCTTGTAGCATTGTGTGCGCAGCGTGTGGCTGCTGCTGCTGCTGCTGATGAGAGGAGCGGCAGGTACACAAACCTTTCAACGGAGATCGAGCGGCTTCCAAGCTGTGTAAAGAACAATAAACACCGACCTCAGCTGTCAGCCCTGAATGTGGTAGCCTTTCTCTTGCCTTACCATTAGCCTACCTGTGTGGTTTCTCTCTAATGAAAGCAGAATTTTGCCAAACAAATGAAGGAGTGAGTTTGAAAGTGCGCAGCGGGTGCGAGAGAGAAGTCCAAATAGATTTTGGCACAAGTGAAGACGTACAGATGGGTCTCCTCGCAATGGGATTTGAGTTGAAGAACACGTAACCAGTCAGAAGTCACCCTGATTCAACCCGTTGTTAAGGTAACTGGGAACTTGAAAAGGCGTCTTTTGACCGCTGGGATGTTGTGAGCGACGCGTCGCCTGGGACAGAAGGAAGAGGGGAACCAGGGCTGGACGAGCACCGGAGGGATTATGGCTCTCGCAACGTTTTCTCTCAGCCTCATCACGCTGGCGCTTGCAAACTTGCACCTGTCGAGAGCCAGCGACCGGCATGCGGTGTACTGGAACAGCTCAAACCTACTGTAAGTGGCTTTCTGCAGCCGTAACGCAGCCCCGTCCGCGCTAAAAGCAAATTAACTTGTGTTGCTCTTTGTTGATGCGCACCTGAGCTGATAACTTGTTTACAACACAGTGTTCATCCTCTGCAGCGACGTGTTTTCTTTTCTTTACAGCATCAAGCCCTTGAAACAGTACGGAAATACAGTAAATAAGCCAATTCATTTACCAGTTTTAAGATAAGACATCAGTCTATCAGCCTGATTGTTTGCAATAGTCAACAGCTGCGCCATTAAATACTTTATTAAATGCTTCTTCTCATCTCTAAAATAATTCTGAGCCTCTAATTTATCTTTGTTTTTATTTAAGAGTACAGTAATGCATCTCCACAGGGGAACTATCTCTACAATGTTCCTTCTTTGCGCCCTGCATGCAGAGTGGTTACTATATAAATATTTGATTTCAATCCTACATTTAATCAATCTACTGCTTCACAATAACGACTCATTTAAGGCATCATCTTTTCATTTACCCTGCTTTCAGCTTTGCGTTTGTCCATCATCCTGACAGCCCCCATGCAGCACACACACATCACTCACATACACAGCTCAAAACTTCCATTAATCTGCTTTGAGCATGTACGCTCACTTTGACATGACATGCGTTTATGTATTCAGGCACACACACACACACCTCTGGGCCTATACTTGGACTTCCTTCTACAACAGTATGGTTGCTTACCCCAGGTAAGCTCCCCCAGGCTCTGCTATCTCTCTCTACCTGTGAGCTATAAAGCCAGCTTGCTGTGGGGCAGAGATCGATGTGGATTCTACTGCCTTTGTCTTCTCATTAGCCAACAGTGAATCCATCTTTCTCACATTCTTTTATCTCCTCTCCTCACACAACCTCCCTCTTTGCCCCCCCCCCCCCCCCCCCCCCCCTTCCTCTATCTGTGTTCCTCCTCTGTCCATTTGTATTCACCTCAGACTCCTATCGCCTCTCTCTATCTCATACTTGGTTATTTTCTTCCCTCTCTTATTTTTCTGCTGTGTCTCACTAGCCGGCCTGTCCCCCTCAATTGCCTTTTTTTTCTGCATCTCATTACCGCCCCCCCCCCATCTGCTCCTGGTCCCTTATTCACCTCCCAGGCTCTCAGTTGAGAGTACACATACAGTAGATAATTAGAATTAGAAATTGTATGAAAGTTATTTGATTGTATGTGGCTGTGGAATAATTCAAATATTTGAAGGTTTCCTCAAGTCAAACAGGGAGGAAACTGCTCTAAAACCTGATGGAAACAGTCAAGGTGGTGCTGCAGCACTCTCAGTTACTCATTAATGTTAATGTATGAATGGCAGAGTCACATTCAAAACTATTTTAGATTTATGACTGCAGTTAATCCCATCAGTGTGACATGAATAGAGAAGGGGTATATTAACTGAGACTTACTTGCATTTAAGCTCTGTAAAAGTGCTCAGGTTTTTGAGTGTCACAATCAGTATTAGTCCTATCTATCAATTTTAATTAGTCTTCGGCGTGTGCTCCATCTAAAATGATTTTCACAGCATGGGTAACATTGCTCTGTAGTCATTCATTACAGTGTTAGCACATTTTGTGGCTTTAAACTGGCATTTATGTGTTAAAATGACAAATATGGGCTCATATTAATGAATCTAAAATACTGTGTGTGTGAGGGAGAAGCAGAGAGGGAGGGAAACAGAGAGAGAGAGACAAAGTGCAGGTGTGGGTCTACATGCCTGCGTGTGCAAAACCTCTCCTTTCACCACCGTGAGATACAAATCTCTAAAATAATGCAAAAATTGACCCAGTTTGCAGGTAGCAGACAAATCCTCAGAGGCTATGGCAAGAATACTGATGGCCATCAAGCTTTAAAAGGCCTTGGGCTCAGGGCCACTTCTCTACTACTCTGTCTACATAGAGAACCAGCTGAAGTCCTCACTTGTTCATCGATGCAGCTCCTTCTCTCATCCAGCTCTGGTTATAGAGACAAGCTCAGGAGGGAGTAGCAAGAAATGAAGGCAGCGACAGAGAGCCAGAAACCAGAGGCCTTCAGGGCCAAACTCGGGTTGAGGCCTTAATGTTTTACCCTTGAGCGCAGCATTCAGCGCAGATGGTTATGGCACAGCTGCAAGAAATGGGATCACTTGGAAGCCAAGCTGTTTGTGCCAAAGCCATGAAAATGGCTTTTTATGATAACGCACAGCTAGAAACATCTTGCTCTGGTGTATTGAAAGTCAAAAGGGGACTGACACAGTTGATACCCAGTAATACTGTGCTGTTTCATTCTTTGTGTTTTTTTTAGGTAAACAAGATCAGACGATTTAGTAAAGCTTTTTCCTCTGCTGCGGACAATTTGAAACGAGATGTCTTGATTATCATAACCCTAAAGAAATAGCTCAGAGTGCTTTGATTACCGCCCAAGTCCGTCACGATCGCACTACCCCCCATTAGAAAGTGTTGCTCTCAGCTTCCGCTCTCAGCAGTGTGCCTGGCCAACTCGTTACAGATGTCCCTGCTAATGGCTGACTGAGGCAGGAAAAAACACACACGCAGGCCATTAAATCATCTCGCATCTGAGGCCATCTGCCAATTAGAGGGGGGAGATGTGGAACATCTTGAGAGCACGCGGGAGCAGCGGTGCACTGCGGTAGCCTCGCCTACCCACAAGCAGCGTCCCATGCTCATGCCACCTCCTCCCATCAGGTGTTTGGCCTCAATGGTTAGACAGGCTGCATCTCCATAATTGGGCACCCCATGTCAGCATGATCAAAACAACGGCGCAGCTTTCATTCACTCTCCCACTCCTTCCCTCAGTCACACAGTGGCTCTACTAATGCTTATAACTTAGCAGGACACCACGGCAGAAAGTCTTTGCACAGGCGTGGGAAGGAATAGCAGGGAATTGAGTTTGAAAGTGTGCCACACATTTCTTTGCTAAATCGCCATTCCCTTGACTGCTCAGCAAGATGAAAGTCTTCTTTGCTGTTTGTGGCTGATCCTCAGTGAGTTACAGCTCTGCGTGTTTCATGCTACACATTATGACCCTGAATTGGACCTGAAATGGTGTCTGTCAGGCCCCTAGACCACATGAAGAAAAAACAACCCAGTCCCCAGCACACCATATCTGGTGCTACAAAATAAATTATCACCTTGACGAATAGCTTCCATGAGAGTTCGAGGTACAGAGGCCTGGTAATCAATGTTGAGTCGAGGTGCCGTCTTACTCAACAGGCTCATTAACCGCCAGGTCGGCCTGTGTGGGTGTGTGCAGACCCAGATAGAGTTGGAGGTGGTTCCCTGCGGGGCAGAGGAGAACCCCGTAGGGAAACATTTGTAGATATTTAGTTGCAGTAAAAGGGAATTGTTACTGAGAAATAAAGAAAAGAGAGAGTGAGTGATGGAGAAGGTGATGGAGAAGGAAAAATCTGAAAATAGAGGGAGGCAAAGAGAAGGATGCAAAGTGTGAAGAATATTACTGTAGGGAAGAGGTAGGCGTAATGGAGAGACTGTGGTGGAATGGAAGGAGAACATGCTGGAAAGGTGGAAAGTGGAGCAGTCTGTCAGAAGAAGAAAGTGAGGGAAAGATTGATTGAATTGGCCAAAAGTCAGGAAGGGTGAAAAAGAGCATGAGTTTTACCGGATATGGAAGTTAGGTTATTTGGCCGAATGTGTTGTAGCCGCTGTTTTTCCGAGGAGATGATACCCACAGGAGTTGATCCGTGCTAATGTGGACACAGGCTGGGTCATTCATGTGGACCAATGCTCGGAGACAATAGCACCCACCATCCACCTGCCCCTCTGCCCTGCGCAACACGGCGCAGGCGGAGCATACAGGAGACAAGCGGATTTAATACCTGATTACATGCACGTCCGTCTGCCTGCAGCTCCGTCTCTGGGCTGTCTCGATATGCACTGGTGTCTCAAAGCTTGTTGGACTGCTAAGCGGTATGCTGGCCATTTAGCTCAGAAGAATCTGCTATGAGTCACATAAATGGATGGAGAAACACTGAAAGGATGTTTAATGGTTTGCATGGATCCAAGAGTGGGTGTGCGGATCAATACATTTATATGGTATGGGAAGGTGAACGGACTCTGGCCGAACAAAAACACAACAAGGTTGCTTTCTGAGTAGCAATCAATCCTGGTGCATCAGGTGATCAATGTCCAAATGCATTTTTAATTGGATTTCATGGTGTCAGTAAATTGCCATGAAGTATTCGGAGCTCTGCTCGGGAAGCACAGATCAAGTATTGCCTTGGAAGAGCATGCTTGAGAATTGATTATTACGGGCTTGTCAGTCACTGCTCCGGGGTCCATGCTCCATGGAGGCCTTAACTATGTCTACACTAAACAAGGCCTTGGTATAGAAGCAGCAGCTGCTTCAGACAGACAAAGGTTAAAAAAACATGAGATGAAAGAAAAGGTTTGAGAGCTAAACAAAATGCAGAGCAATATTCCTCCGTTAGATGACAGAAGAAGATGTATTTGACTAAGTCTGCGAGACCTAAACAACAACTGTAAGTTATTCATCCACAAGATAAAAATGAAAGGTTTTTCAACAGAGCATACATTTAGATTTGGTCTGCTTCACACATTGAAAGGTTAGGTGAGAACATCAGTATACTGTATATTTTTGACAAATGTCTTACTGCTCATCTGCTTAAGACTTTAAAGCAAGCTAAGTAAAAAAAAAAAAGCAAAAGCGTCTTCCATTAACGATTTGTAGTTTATATTTGAGGTGCATTGTTGCTGTTGTTGAATGCTCCACAAACAAAATAATTGCAAAGACTAAAGAAAACGGCACAAACACATTAATGTTCATTGTAGGCTGTTGCTCTTGGCGAACGCTAATTTGACTCTACAGTGAAGTGAACATGAGTTGAATTAAAAGGTGGGTGGGGATACAGATAAAACCTCATGAGGAGGCACTTAATCAACCTGGAATTTTATAGATAACCAAAGGGAAATTGTGAAAACTTTGACTACTGTGTCACAATAACATCAG